TTTAGAGTTGGGCAAAGAAAAGCACCAAGACCAGTGCCATCCCACAGAACTTTCTGGGATGAAAATGCTCCAGACCCACACTGTCCAGTACTGCAGCCATTGGCCACATGAGGCTACTGAACACTCGAAATGTGACTAATGTTACCAAGGAACTGATTTTTAAATTTTATTTCATGCCTTAAAAAGTTTCAATTTAACTAGCCACACATAACGCGAGTTGCTAGTCTATAGGACAAGACAGCTGTAGACCCCCTTCCCTAAGGATCAATTTAGGAGATGAGAATAGAGACATTGTAAAAAATAAAAATATTTTGCACAGTAGTATGTTAGAGCTAGAGAACTTTAGATACAGCTAAAACAGTGGAACTTAAAAATAAGTTTTTGACTTATACTATCCACTGAACCAAGCACCCTAGCCCAAATACACCCCTCCCCATACACAGCCCTGCAGACACTCCACCTTCCAGCAGCCCGGAGGCACTTTAGACTAAAAGGGCTCCCAAGGGCATTCACTGAACGCCTTTGATGTTGACCAACTCTCTCTTACCAGTTGAAGAAACAGATCCCAGAGAGCCAACAGACCTGCCTAGAACCACGGCCTGGTTTCATCCATGAAAGCTGCACCAAGCCCTCACCCACCCTCCCCTGCCCCATCCAGGGCTCTTGCCAGCTGAGCCCAGTGGTGAAACAAGCCATATCACTCCACAGCGCCGCACACCTTTACTTCCAGAACTCACCTGGGGCCCTGCTGTATTCCTAAGTGCATGGGCCTCAGTGACGCCCAGCCAAGTGAAGGCAGCCAGCCAGTATTACCAGACTGGGACAGAACATTTACTATCGACTGCTGCAAACGATCAAACTGAGCTGTAGAAATGTTTAAATGGTGAGGACCTGGACAGAACGAAGATCATCTGGTAGGAGGAAAGGAAAGTTTAAGGAAAAGGACCTCTTGAAAGCTACTTATTACTGAAAGCCTGTCCTCAGAATGCTGAATGATAACACACCCTCCTTCATTGCCACAATCTGCTTAGAAAGCAACAGAAACATTAGGAGACAAGCCCATCGATTTACCTATGCCTTAGTTCTTTTTGCAAAAGCCCTTCAGGGGACCTAGTTTAAATCCAAACCTACACTTGTCAGTTTCTCTACCCCTCAATTTGTATTTCTATTAGCTACTGAAACAATCCAGAATCACCCCAGCTTCACCCTCAACTGTACTCAGAGGTCTGAGGATTAAAGGATTAGGGAGGTGTTTGCTCACAACTCACCTAGCACAGTCGCTATCAAGGAAAAGGCATCTTTCAAATTTTAGCTCCACATCCCCACCAGTTACTTCTCCAGCCACTCTGCCCGACTCCAAATGTTGTCATTGATCATGTTTTCCACAGCCCAAGTTTAAAATTAGATACCAAGGCCAGCAGATTCGCTCACATACAATGGAGGGCCACATACAATGGTGGGTAGGCACTTAATGGTAAATGATCATAAAGGTGTGAGGCATGACACCAGAAAGGGATGTGGAAGAAACATAACCTGCCCTAGGGAGCAAAAGTTAGGATGAAAATACATCCCACTAAGAGTAGCAGCTCAAACAATATGAGATGATGTAAGTGGGGCAAGAGGCTCAGAGGACCCAGCATCTCCCCAAAGCAGAGGAAATCTCAGAATGGCAAGCTGAAGGTATTAATTTGTACACAAAACTGTTAACTTCACAACACACCAAGCTGCAGAAAAGCCCTTTCATTCTAGACTCACCAGAAGTGGCCTGGGGAGAATGGGCTGGAAGGCACCAGCTCACCAGGCGCATGGGGTACCCGCTTCCTCAAAGCCCCAAAATGAGCATTCGATCAAGTCATGTCTGTTGCAGGCTAGTGCCAGGAGGCTGGCTGGCAGTGTGGGAAAACCAATTTGTTTTCCTTTTCTTTCCAACCAACTTTCCAGGTCAGAGGCTGAGGGAAAGGTACTTTTAATAAAATTCAAATCACTGAAGTGATTCAAGAGAAAATGTCAGCCTCAGAGATTATTTAGTAGGGAATAAAAGCACTCATCATGCACCGTGCCAAGTCTCACAAATAACATCTCAATTTGTCTTTAGGATGAGGAGGGCGAGCACTGTAAAGATTAAACTAGCCTTCACCCACAACGATGGCTAGGACGCGGCCTGGGTCCAAAGCCCAGAATAATTGTGGTGGCCAGGTAGAGCAAAACAAAATGCTTTAAAATATTGGTGCTCAGCAACCTTACACGGGAGACACATCCTTTTGGCACCTGTGCAGGCCACTTACAACAGACACCCTCACTGTCACCCTGCAAGTGGCCAAGTGTGAATGTATTCCCTAGAAACAGCTGAAAGGAGGAACTGATAGTTACATTCAGCGCTCAAGCAAGATACAAATCCATTAGACCTGTCTCACTCTCAGGCTTGGACCAGATCAGTTACCTGCAAATTCTGGGCCATCACCTAACAACATGCATGACAATAGAGACCATTTAATCCAGGCAGGCACTGTAGAATCCCAAGAACCTCCTCTGGCCTAGTGACAACTTCCTCTGAGAATATACACAGGAATCACTACTCAGAACCCACAAAACTATCAATAGTTACGAGGTAAAAGACTATCAATAGTTACGAGGTAAAAGAGAAAAGGTTCAACACAAGTCAAAAAGTACCCAAAACGTAACTTCACATGCTTCCAGTGCTCAGAAAGTTTTAATCAGCAGGTGAACCACTTGAATGTCAAGAACAGAGGAATCTGATGTATGACCAAATCATGCTGCCCTCTCATTTCAAAGATGCTCTGTACCTTTAAGAGCAAAGAGAATGGGTGGTGCTTAGAGTCCAAGTTTTGCTTTCTAAATAGTTTTTATTTTTTTTAACTAATTTGGGAAGGGCTTTAGTTACAAGAGCACGGTAAGGTTACTGTTTGCCAGAATTAATAGCTTATTGTGAACGGTGTTCATCAGGAATAGCGACAAGGGGGGGGTAAGTCGTAATAGCAAACCAATCAACAGATATGCTTGTACCAAGTGTCCAGCCCGATTTCCCCGCAGGGGATAAATTTAAACACCAAATAGCCTGCACTTCAGTCAGGGGGGAAAAAGCTAGTTTAATCTAATTGCCCTGCCTAGCTTGAGAGGCCTCTATTCACACCTGGAGTCAGAAGTGCACCGGGTTTGTGTTAGCAGCGGCGGAGGGGCAGGAATGCGCCGGCCAACCTGGGCATCACCGCTGGAGAAGATCGCGAAAGGCCCAGGGCTTACACGCAGTCCCGGGAGTCACCACCAACAGCTCCTTTCTTCCCTATATACACCTCCCTTGGAGGAAAAATGGGAGAAACAGTACCCCAGGGCATAAAAGAGCGGAACTGGTTAAAGGCCACCACCCCGAGGCGTCCAAGACAGCCTCCCCAAGCACATTTTGAAGCGTAACCGCGAAACTAGCGTGGTCCCTCCGGAACGCCAGCGGGTGGGGGGCGGGGGATGGATACGGGCGGAGCGACACACGTGACCTACGCGCCCCGAGGCAATAAGTCAGTGGGCACACCAGGCAGGACGGGACGGCCTCTGCCTCTCCGGACACCCTTTAAGGGGTTGCAAATGCTAATCCTCTAGAGAGGATTTGACCTCGGGACCCTAACTCGGTTCTAGCGGTCCCTCCACCCAAAACAGAGATCCAATCACAGCCGGTCGCGTAGCCCATCCTCCCCACTCCGAAAACCGAGACCCTTCCCCTGGTTCGCCGCACTTAACTCCCAGGGGCTGGGCTATACCACTCGGGTTTGCCACAGCCCGGCCTAGGAGGGGAGTAACCCAGGGCGAGCTAAACGGGCACAGAAGTTGGGTGAGGTTCCTGGAGTGACCAATTCAACTCCCACTTCAGGGGAAATAAAGGGGTGCCCGCGGGCCTTGGAGCACCTTCTTGCCCTTGTGAGCACCTGGCCCTGCCCACAGCCCGCCCCGCCGCCGCCTCTCAGCCTGGGTACACACGACCTTTGAAAAGTAAACGCGTGTGGGGCTGGGCGACCTTGGGTGGGACGCGCTCAGGTCTGTCTCACGGGAGGGAGGGTGTGCACGCTCCGGGAAAGTTAAGCCGCAGAGGGGTGGCCCGGGCGTCGCGTCCTCACCCCCGGCTCCCCAGGATGGTGACGCGCGTGGGGGGCACCGCGCTGCAGAGCGCCGCCCCAGCAACGCACACGCGATCTGTCAGCAGGAGCCCGCGAGCAGGCAACCCAGACCTGGGAAGATGAGGGGGCGCACAGGCGACGCAAGGGAAAGAAGGGCCTGCTTGACAGCAGGCTGCGGGCCGGAGCCCCTCCACCCGCGCTCGGCTTCCGGAGCCTCCAGCCTGCGGGACACCAGGTGCGGGCGTCGCACCCCGCACCTGCACCACAGGCTCATCACCCCGACGGCGTCGCCTTCGGGGCCCCAGCAGGTGGTCCCCAGGCCAGCCGCCCCCATCGTTCCCAACTTACCAGCTCTTAGGCGACCGTCAGGATGCGGAGTCCACGCCCACCGCCGCCCCCTGACCCCCGCCTCTGCCCCTGAGGCCCGGCCCTGCAGCCCTAAGCTCCCGCCGCTCCCCCACGTGCTCGCCCGGGAGGGTGGAACACAGAGACATTAAATACTGAGGACGCGCAACGACGTGCCCGCGGCGCGACGCAAGGCCCCGCCCCCCGCCCTCGTGCCCCCGCGCTCGCCCCGCTCACCTGCGCGTGCGCGCCGTCGGCCGCTCCCTCCCGCGCCTCTCCCAGCTGCGCCAGAGGGGGCGCGGTCTGGAGCGTTCCGCCGACATCCCGCTGCCGCGGCCGGCAGCCGTGCCTTGCTCCAGCTCTCGCGAGATGAGCTGTAATCTCGGTGGGGTTTGGGAGAGGGGCCTGGCTCGAGCCTTCCGAACCCCAGGGGAACCGCGAAGGTCCGCTACGCAAGCCCGGCGCGTATACTCCCGCCTCGGCGCTAGGCGGTCTGGAGGGGTCAGCTAGACCATCTGCCTGCCTCTGCGCTGAGAGCCCCCTGGAAAAGGCGGAGCGACCGGTGTGGGGCTGGGCTCCCCCTTGCTTCCCCTTGTAATGCATAATCAGGTGATCATCAATAATTGCTCAGTTGCCTGAAGGGCGTACTTGGCACCACTGAGATGCAACTTTCTTGCCCATTTTCACAACTTGGTGATGTCGAAGTGAAACCAACACTTTCCTCTAAGTGGATTTGGGTTTCCTACCAATAGATAGTCACCATGAGTCACTGACTCCTGTAGGAATCTTGGGAAAATAAATCGCCCCTGGCAAGTGAACAGGGTGGTGTTGCGCTTAGCCAGGTCTGCTTTCAGCCTTAAGACACGTGGACTTGAACATTTGTTGGGAAATTTGCTAAGAATTGACCTTTACCTGGGGAAATGCTTAATCTTCACTAGTGATCAAGTGCAAATTTAAATGACAGAAACTATTTATCTATTGAATTGTAAGTATAAATTCATATGTATATATACCAGGCGTGCCAAAACAATGTATACAAGTGGACACTTTGGTCAGCGTTGCTCAAGAAGTAGTTTACCATAATCAGAAGTGTCTGGGCGCTGATGGTAACCACTTTGAGCACCTCTTGTAATTGCAGAAGTCCAACGTGACTTGTGTTCCTCTTTTGTTATAGGTATATATTGAGTATTACCATTTTAATACAGTTTTTCTTTCTTAAAAATGTATGTACATTCTCTATGTTCCATTTGTATGGTATGATTAGTGAAGGAAAACAAATAGGAAGCTGAAATATCAATAGAAAAGAAATAAGAAAATACCTATTTTAGGTCCCGTGGTTTGAAAAGGCTTAACTAAGATGAAACTGAAACAAACCTACTGGATGAGAAGGAGCTGGCCTTGCAAATTGTATATGGGAATAAGGGTTGGGGAGTGTGCCCAGCAAAGGCAACAACACAGGCAAAAGCTGGAAACAACTTCTGGTAAACTGAAAGATCAGTGTGGATGAAATATGGGGGGGCAGGGGGTAGTGCTGGGAAAAGGGATTGGAGAGGTAGCGGGAAGGAGGGTTTGGGGTTTTGTTTGTTTGTTTGAGGGGTGGGGAGGGAACTGGGCTGCCTTATAAACCACAGTAAAGTTTGGATTTTGTTCTACTCTGATCAGCCCCAAAACCAGTCATGCTTCTACCTCAGGGCCTCTGCACTTTGCTATTCCCTCCAAATGAAATATTCTGCAGAGCTCATTTCCTTACCTCTTTCAAGTCTTTTGCTCAAAGGTCACCTACTCAGTATCTGTGAAACCTTCCCTGGACTTCCTAGGTATTTAAAATTGTAAACACTCACACACACACACACTCCTTTATTTTCTTCATCGCACTTACCACTATTTGCATACTATACACATCTGTTTCATGACAGGAGACATTATTGAGTGCATGACACATAGAGGGCACTCAGTAAAAATGGGTTTAGTGAATAAATGGGAAGCCCTTCCAGAGGCTTAAGTAGAGATTGTGACACAATACAATTTCTGTTTTTAAAAGGGAGCTATAGCTACTATGGAAAGAATGGACTTGAGGAAGACCAGCATAGAAGCAGGGAGACTAGTTGGAAGGCTGCTGCGGTGGTCCAGGTGAGAAATGATGCTGGCCTGAGCGAAGAGTCATGGCAGTGGATATGAAGAGACTGCTTTGGACTCAAGATATATTTTGAAAGTAGTAGCAACAAGACTCTCCTGTTGGGGGTAAGGGAAAGGGTACAATGAACGATACTTCCTCTGGCTTGAGTTATAGTATGAAATGGGGTGCAGTTTATTAAGATGAGGGGTAACAGTGGCAGACAATCATTAGTTCCATTTTGGACCCATTGTGTTTGCAGTTTTGTGACATCCAAGTGCAAATAGTAATTAAGATGAATGTGCAAGGCTGGAGCTCAGAGGAGTGGTCTGAATGGGAAATACAAATAAGTATGGAAAATCATGTAAACAGTGGAAATTTTAAAGAAAGACAATGCCCCGATGTTGGCGGAGCTAAGAAATGTCTACGAGGAAGAAACTGAGAAAATGATGGGGGTGAGGGGGTAAGTCCTGGAAGCACTGGTAGGAAAAAATGGGGAGCGGAAGGGGGATAGAAGAAAGAGGTAGATGAGGCTATGAATATGGTATGAGAAGGAGGGACAAGAAACGCGATAAATGAGATCAATATGTCAGTCATATCCTATGGATTGGGACATGGGCAAAGCCTGCCAGGAAAAAAGGAAGGAGGGAAGAACAGAGGAGTTGGATGGCTGGAATACTAGGGAAAGTACAAGACACAGATCAGAGAGAAAAAGGTGAGAACAGGATTAATTGTAATCACAACTGAAGATCAACCCAACAACTGTGGCTGAAGAGGTGGCCACAAGGTCAGGGCAGTTCAAAGGTCACACTGTGACCCTAGTGTAAGATTAGAAGGTGGAGGAATAAAACAGGAGGTGAGGATGGATGGTAATCCTAAAAACTTGGCCTTGAGGAAAATAAGATGAAAGACTTAAAGTTTAACATCAGCTTACAATGGGCAAAATGGTCTCCTTAAGGCAGGGATTTTAACCTGGTATGCATAAAACAGCTTCAAGGACATCCACGAATCCCCTGAAATTGCTCGCATGGTTTTATAAGTATGGCATTTTTCTGTGGAAATAGTTATGGAGAGCTCCTATCAGATTCTCTAATCCTGATGCTAAAAAAAAAAGAAGAATCTGGTTATTAGAATAAAATAGATGGTAACACTGTATGTAAACAAGGACTATATCATCCAGAAGGAGGAGATGAAAAATAAAGATGAAAGAAAAAAAAAAAAAAAGGAAGGGAAAGTGGGCAGTACCCATCTAAGGGAGAAGGTACCCAATCCGATCTAATGAGTAGAAGAAGCTGCTCTCGCGGATGAAATGGTCAGATCAGAACCTGATGCTATTATTCCTTTAAATCGTATAAGTCACGCCCCTCATTCTGACTCCTTACCCACCAAGCAACCTGATAATTCCCTCCAAGGAGAGAAGTCATGATTGGACCTATGGAAGGCACTGGGCCACCTCACAGGTGGATGTTTGTCATTGTATGTCAGTGGCCCTTTTGTTTTCTACATCTTGTGAAGTTTTTTGTTTGAGTCAGCTTTCAGCTCTGGCACTCAGACATGATGAAGTTGTTGAACCTGTCATAAAGCTGAGGGAGGGCTTGATAGAGGACCATGGGGAATTTCATCAAGACATCATCCTGTGAGGATCTCTTAAAAGAAAATCAGCCAGTTGTTTTTTGACAGCTTCTCCAACTTCAGGGGGTACATACCTGAGAAAGATCCTGCCTTTCCTACTGGAAGCATCTACAGAAGGAACTTTTGTAGTGCTAACAAATAGGAACTGTCTCCTTTATGGGCAAATAATGAAGGAGTGTCTTTACCGCATTAGTTTAACTGAATAAACAGGTGAAACTAAACCCCTCTCACTCTCCACCACTGGGTTCCCTAGTCTCTTAAACCACAGAAGCATTTGATTATGCCCCCGGGACCACGTGTGTCTGTAGGGAAGAAGAAATGATCTACTCCTAGAGAAATCAATGGAAAGAGGCGGGGAATAAGAACGCCAGTGGCTACTGCTTAATGAGCACTTAATGCCCAGCACTGTGCGAAGAAGTACTTTGTCCTAACCCTCCACCAACCTCGAAAACTAGATACTCTGGTTATACTGTATTTCCGTTTTATAGCCCTTAGTCACACAGCAGCAGAGGCAAGATTTTAACCCAAGAAACGTGATACGGAGCCCATAGATTAACCAACTCACTGTACTGCTGCTGGAGACAGACCTAGAGATCCAGGGAGCAGTTTTATACAGGAACACCTGCTATAAATTGAATTGTGTGCCCCCCCCCACCCCCCAAAAAAGATACGTTGAACCCCTAACCTCAGCAGTACCTCAGGGTGTGACCTTATTTGGAAATAGGACTGTTGCAGATGTAATGAGTGAAGTTGAGGTCATACTGCAGTAGATTGGACCCTAATACACTATGACTAGTGTCCTTATAAGAAGATGGCCATGTGAAGACAGGAAAACACAGGGAGACTACCGTGTGAAGATCGAGTTTAGGCTTTATGCATCTATCAGCCAAGGAATGCCCAAAATTGCTAGCAAACCACCAGAAGTGAGGAAGAGGCAAGAAAGGGTTCCCCTACAGTTTTCAGAGGGAGCAGGGCCCTGCTGACATGTTGATTTTGGACTTCTTCCCTCCAGAACTGTAAGACTGCTGTTGTTTTAAGCCACCCAGTGTGTGGTGCTTGTTACAGAAGCCGTAAAAGGGCATGTGAGGTCATTCAGCAGGTGATAAAAGGGGGCTGTCCCCTTCCTCCCCTCTGGAACCCAGAAGCCATGGCGTCACAGAGCAGAGGCCCCATCCCAGTGGCTGTGATGAAGGGGCCTCAGATGGGCACTGCCCAAGCTCTGGCACCATCACTACCACGTATTTCTTGGGAATTTCTAGCCATATACTGTATTTTAAATCTTGATTCTGGTTCTGTTTGGTGGGTGGCTGGGCAGGGGTATGGCTGGCCATTTTCCCAGAGCCCTGTCTCGTCTTAACAGCTTCTTCTAACGGCAGTTCTGTCTGGAAGTGGAGCCTAAGAAATTCTGCAAACTACTTCAGGCGGGGTGAAATTCTACCGAAAACCAATTTAGGCCCTTCAACTACAGCCAAGCTCATGCATGTAGAGAAGCAATTAAACCATCAGAGATTATCACCTACCTCATTTTATTCCATGGGAGTATCTCCTTCTGTGCCAGCGGTTGGGATCTTCCCAGGAGGCCACCTGACCATGCTGGGGGCCTGTATATGGATATTTGAATTGCTTGGACTCTATAAGATAAACTTCATTGAGGTTTATAATCTGTTGTTCCGTGTTTATTTTGTTAGTTTACATACCTTTCTGTGCACCAGTGCAGCTGGAATGGCCTGAGACAGCAAGATCCAGAAGTCTCAAATAACTGCAAGGAGACAGGAACTTCCCTGGGAATGAGACATTTTGCAAGCTGACCCACCTCTAGGAGCAATGGGGCAGAGCACGTAGCCATAGGGGAGCTCAGACACTGCACCCAAATCTTCCATTGTCCCCCACCTCCACACACCCCCTCCCATTTCTCTGGAACCATTTTCTTACTCGATCTATTCTAAAACATGTCCAGTTTCTTAGGAACCTCTTTCTTCTGTATGATCGGGCACTCCAGCTTCCCACCGACTAGTGTGATCTACCCAGGACTGCCACCAGCTGACCCAGTGGCATTGTGCGAATTAGGCAACAGGTGTCCCTTCCCCCAGACAGAGCTCTGTGCCAGGCTTCATGGTGAGCAGAGTGCAACAGCACAGCCTGGATTTCAGCCCCTACTTGCCCTTGGGCTGGATGCCGTCATGCAGGACACAACCTGCTCAACCCTCCATGACATTCCTGCCATTGGGAATGAGTCCTAACAGAGCTTGTGCTGTCTACCATGACCCAGTCAGCCAACCAGACCTTGGGGGTGGTTTGTGTACGACATGGCAATGGCTTCATTCATTTAATGGCTTGCCAAAGCCTACAGTATTGCCTTGCTCAACACCGGTATTTAAAAAAACAAACAAACGAAACACTTGTAACCTCAAGTAACTTTACCTAGCCTCTGAGTTTCCTCGTTTGTAAAATGACGATAATAATAGGACCTATTCATGGGGTTGTTGGGCAGATTAAATGAGATAATCCATACAAGCACAGTGCTGAGCCCAGGAAATAAAAAGTTCTTCCATTTCAAATGCTTTCATCAATCCACCAAGAGCAAGTCAAGATGCATTCAACGAATATGTATTCACAACTATTTTGTGCCAGGCCTTGTGGAAGGTGCAGTGGTTACCAAGGTGACCACCCCAGTCAGGGAGGGAAGGCAGATATGAACATAGGTAAAGGCTCTATGCAGCAGGCTCAGTGCCGTGACAGAAGTGCAGAGATGGGACGAGAAGCAGTAGATGCCAGGAGTTTCATCCTGCTTATGTTACGGTCAGGGAAGCGTGAGTGTGTCACTGGTCCTCTTTCTGCATTTGACATTCACCAGAATCAGGGCCGGCCGAGTGGCTCAGTTGGTTAAGCGCTTGCTCAAGAGTTTGAGCTCTGAGCAACAGCGGTTCGAGTCCAGCCCGAGCTAAGCGAGTCCAGCCCGAGCTAAGCAGCCGCTGAGCTGCCAACAGGTAGCAGGATGGCTCAGCTAAAAAAACAAAAAGACATTCACCAGAATCAAATGTATTGCTTTGGTTATCTATTGTTGCATATCAAACTACCACGAAACTGAAATGGCTTAAAACAATCACTGATTATTAGCTTATCAGGTTTTGTTTCTGCTCATATGTTGTTGGCTGGGTGACTTGACTGAGGTTGGAGGATCCAAGATGGCATCACTCACATGTCTAATGTCTCAACTTCCATGGCTGGAACAGCTGGGCATGGCAGGCATTTATTTCTCTCTCCTTGTGGTCTCCAACAAGGAAGCTGGACCTCTCTACATAGACCCAGACCTAGGCAGCATCCCTCATGCTGCATTCTGTTGGTCAAAAGAAGTCACCAGGTCAGCCCAGATCCAAGGAAAGCAGTAATAGACTCCACTTCTAGGTGGGAGAAGAGGTAGAGAATTGTGGGTATGTGTAACCTACCACATCTATTAGGTCATATTCCATTTTACAGCCAATTGATGACTTAGGAGGTATCTAACCGGTGAGTCTGTGGCTGCTTCAGATATCAGTGCTGTGAAATGCAGTGTGGTATAGCAGTTGTAAAACACAGCCTTCAAATTCTCATTTCAGTACTGACTCGCTGTATGACCCCTCGGCAAGTTATCAAACCTCTCTTCCCACCCTTTCCTCATCTGTAAGATGAGGAGCAGTAAGATCTAAAAGCCAAGGTTATTCTGAGAATTAGAGAAAATGCAAGGACAGGGCTGGCTCATGGTAGATGAGATAGCTGAGGAGTGCTCTAACACTGCTGTTGGCATCAGGTTTTTTGCCTTTCTTCTTAAGAAGTATGACTGGCACATTTGGAGGCATTGTTCTCACCTGTCATGGGATCTAGTATTGCCTGCCCCTCTCTGAGAACCGCAGCAATTATTGCCATGGAGTAGGGGCATAGCTTTGTGAATTTGTTCAACCTTTTGGAAGACAATTTAGTAATCATTAACAAGAGTCATAAAAAACGTTTATATCCTTTGACCCAGATTTCCAGATATAAAAAAACAGATTTCCAGAAAATTGTCCCAATGGAATTGATTCAAAAGAAAGGCAAAATCCATATATATTAAGCATTGCCATTTTCTCTAGAGCTATTAAAAATAGAGAAACAGCTTACGTGTCCAATAGTACTGGAACGGTTAACTAAATTATGATGCAAATAAATACTTGCTGGAATATTATATAATTCCTAAAATGACAGTTATTATCACTCTATGGTGGCATGGAAATTTTTAAAAATAAAATGCTCAGTGACAAATTCAGAATTCAAAGATTTCTCTACGTGGACAAGGATTAGAGCCAGACATGGAAAAAAAAAATTTGTTCATGTTTGGGAAGCGGGTTTGGAATTAATCAATGTAAAAAAAAATATTCTTTGTTATTTTAAATCAAAATCAGGAGAAAAATTTAGGCAAGGTCATATGGAAAAAATGGTTTAATAAAAAAGAAAGGCCTCATAATAAATGCCAGAGAATAAATTGCAGAGCTTTTAAAAATACAAGTGCTTAAGCTTCTCCCTGGAGATTCTAATTCAGAGGATCCCAGATAGGGCCCAGTTATTTATATTTTTTTCAGAGTTACCACCACAAATGGTTTTTGATGTACAGCAGGGTGAGACCCACTGAGACAGACATTCATCATTGTCTTTTCAAATGATCTCATAAACATTCTGTCTGATCAGAAATAGCAATACAAAGAAAATTTACATAATTAGAACTTTTTCTTCCTAATAAAATAATGTTCCTACTGGTGGGCCTCTTCCATTTCCATGTATTTAGTTGTACTCTGATAAATTTGTAGTTTGTGTACATAATCCAGAACACAGAGCAGACAGCTTTTGATGAACCTATGGTTTTGTGAAATCAAAGGAAAAAAACAAGGCATAAGAGCTGATGGCCTGGGGTTTAACAGAAGAATAATAGAAGCAAAAAACAAAACAAAACAAAACAAAAAAAACTCTCATCTCCATATCAGTCAAAAGATATTGACAGAATTTCAAGGACATCTCCCACTGTGACCAGCTGTAGCCCTTGCCTGAGGACAGAAGTGGTGGGAAGTCTCATGAGATTTAATATGCATATTTTTCTTTCTTTTATAATGCTGGCATTAATTGTAGGAAGTTATTGTTAGAGACAAGAGTAGAAACAGAAAAAGCCAAATAGAGCCTTGTTCTACCCAGCTCAGCTTCCACAGAATATAATGAAAGAGACAGTAGATTCTTTGAGAAAATCCTGGAGTGAAGTAGTTTTCATGATGACTATTTCCTAAGATCATCATTTCCCAAAGTATGCTCTTTGTAAAAAGTAGTTCCTCAGAAGGCTAGACAGTACTGCTTCATAAAGAGTTCCATGATGTGGAATCACTATATCATAACCTGAAATTAATATATCTATTAATAATATACTATTATACATCACATACCAACTATACTTAAACAAAAATAAGTAAATAAACCTAAGAAAAGTTTCCATGATGAAATGTTTGAATGCAGGATTTAACCAAGTTAGAGAAGTTTCTTTGCAGGACTTCTCAGGGCCTTTGTGAATCTCCAAGAAAAGAATATAATGAGATGTGAAAATTTTCTCTTGTTGATGTATACCATACAATTTCTAGGAAGAGCTAAATAAGTGTTAGTTGTAAAAACATAAAATTAATACAGGGTATTATGGTCCTAGGTTTACATTACTTAATTTGGATTTTTCACCTAAGGAAAATTAATTCTCATGTGAAAATTAGGAGATAATATATAGACAATTCAAGAACCTTTCCAAGCAAACCCTTAGAACTAATGAAAAAGTTCACTAAAGTTTCTGGACATAAGATCCTTTAAAAAAAAAAACTGCTTTTCCTATACACCAACGGCAAACAATTACAAAATTTAATTTAAAAAATAGCATTTATAATAGGACCAAAAGCTACATTCCATCTAGGAAGAAGCCTAATAAACTATGGTCAAAACTTGTATGGAGAAAACTTAGAGTCTTTATGGAAAGACATAAAAGAATTCCTAAACAAATGGAGAGAGTAGATACCATGTTTGTGGTTGGGGACACTCAATATGGTAAAGATGTAATAGTCGCCACCTTTCAATTTCTTTGCTTCCTACTTAAGACATATTTCTCTTCTCACCCTTTCATTCTCTTGTTTCTTGTAATGTCCAAAAACAAAGAAAGTATCAGCTCTTTCATTGTCACAATGTCTTCTGCCTGTCTTAGCAAGCCTCTAGTGAGTCATGTTTTAGCAGCCCATCTAAAGATGCCTGATAATATTCTGGTACTTGTAAGGTTTCCAGTATAGTGCAAAACGGGCTTAACGCATATCAGTGTAATACCAGATTCTATGAGCAGCCTATGCAATTTACTTGTGTCTTCCAACCACTAGATATATCTTTGGATACCTTAGCTAGAAAGGGTTTTTTCTTATACTCAAAATTGCCCAATTTAATTTATTAAATGGGGTGCAGTAGATGTAAATTAAGGTAGCTCCCTGG